TGGGGGGGAGGTGGCCGGTGTCTGGTTCCAAAACCTGTACTCCTTTTACATGGTTTCTATAAAGTTAAAGAAATTTAATTCTTACTAGGGACTGTTCTAAGTACTTTATATGTATTTAATCCTCTAAAGATTCCTGTGAACTCATTATTTATTACTCCGATATTTGGATGAGACAACTGGAGCACAGAAGGATTAGAAATTGCTATAGGTTATATAGCTAGTAAGAGGCAGAGTTTGGATTTGAACCTATGCACTTTGGCTCCAGAGTCTGCTCTTAACCACCATGGTCTAAGGCTACATTCTCTCATTTGCTGTATGTTTCTATGTGAGCTGCAGCTTATCTAAGGTAAAATTTTTTGAAGAGTTTTAAGTTTATGTACATTGCTGGACATATGGTAAATAATACATATTTGTGCTTCGATGAATTAATAAATATTATGGAATGATAAAATTATAATTAAAAAGCAGAGATGTCACTTTGAGGACTAAGGTATGCCTGACTCAAGTCATGGTGTTTTCAGTCGCCTCGTATGCATGCGAAAGCTGGGCAGTGAATAAGGAAGACCAAAGAAAAATTGATGTATTTGAATTATGGTGTTGGCAAAGAATATTGAATATACCATCTGCCAGAAGAATGAACAAATCTGTCTTGGAAAAAGTATAACCAGAGTGCTCCTTTAGAAAGGATGGCGAGACTTCGCCCCATGTACTTTGGCTGTGTTATCAGGAGGGACCAGTCCCTGGAGAAGTACATCATGCTTGGTAAAGTAGAGGGTCAGTGAAAAAGAGGAAAACCCTACACGAGATGGATTGACATCATGGCTGCAACAATGGTCTCAAACATAGCAACAATTGGTGGTAGGATGGCACAGGACTGGGCGGTGTTTCGTTCTGTTGTACATAGGGTCAACTATGAGTCGGAACTAACAACAACAACACTACTACAGTACAATCATTTTATAATTCTTCTTGGCTTCAAGTAATAACTGTTTTTCGTTGTTGGTCATTTTAGAAGCTGGCTATCCAGCAGGGCTATTTTGAAGCATTCTGCTCTAAGACTACAAAAATTTGGGCAAAGAGATTGCTTAACAAATCTATTTATAATCCCAAATTCGCTTTTTTCTTGCTGGTACTTGCTTAAAAAAAAATCTGTGTTTTATTTAGAGCTTTTCCTTTTTTGGGTTCCTCAGTTGAATTGCTTGTTGATTTATTAATGTTAAATGGCATTGCAACAGGTAATTGAGCTCTTTATGGAAGAAGCCTTAAAGAATTTGGGGATACTGATCATGATAGTAAAGTTTGGTATTGAATTTGGCCTGTAAAACTTTTGAAATAGTAGTGATCTTGAAATTTGCTTTAGTTTCTATATTTTATGTGTCTCTTTCAGAATTCTCCACTTTACCAGTACTTGCAAGATCTGGGACACTCAGATTTTGAAATATGTTCTTCTGTGTCACCAAAAACAGAAAAATGCACAGCGAGAGAGGGGCCACAAAAGACTCCTATGAGAGCCCTGTCAGAAGTAAGGAAGCATGCTAATTCTTTATGGTTTAATCTTTTATTTTTCGCCTTACTGATTTTTAAACTGCCTTTTCCTTTATCCTGTGCAAACCCCGCCCCCCCAAAAAAGACAAAAACCTTATAAGCACCTCATGTCATTCTCTACATTGCTGAGACTTTATTTCTGTCTGTTTCTAAACTGTTTAGATAAACATGAATCTTTGCTAGTTTGGACTGTTTCATGGGTAACTTACATAAAGTGAGGAAATGAATATGGTTGAGGATTAAAATGTATTATTTGCTTAGATAGTGAAGCTATCTGATGGGAACCAGAAAAATATAGTAAAACCTTAATAAGAACCCAACCAATAGGACGCCTCTGTTAACAGAAATTTTTTTTCTTTAAATAATTTTTAAAAGAGAGACACAAATTATAAAAAAAGCAAGTCAGTATTTCTTAAACACACAGTTTGAAGGGTATATGGTAGAGTGGGTATATTTACCTCAATTTCTGATGCCTTTTCTATCTACAATATTATGTACTTTTATACAATAAAGATCTCCTAGTTTATATATAGCATTATGAGGCTAAGGTACTGTTAGAGTCTCCATTAATCATGTTCTATAAAATATATTTACTAAAATAAATTTATGATATTTACTAATAGATTAATTTATATTCTACTAGCCATATTTATAAAATAGGAAAATGTTCCAGTTCATTTCAGAGTTTTAAGCAAAGGAATTTAATAGAAAAAATATGAGTAGATTATGTCATTTCTTGAACATTCTAATTTAATCAGTGATTTTTATAAGACTCCGTTACTATTGGGAGGAGGAGTTTGAAGTTTTCAGTTAGTCCGTTGTGATAGGAAAGTGGGTCTGCAGGAGAATCTTTTCTCCTGGTCTTCTTAGAAAAACTCCTAAAGTATGAGGTAGCCAAGCTGAGCTCATTTGCAATAGCAAAGCAAACAGAATTTTTTTTTTTTCCCCCCCGCTAACACTCAGAAGGTTAGAGTTAGTGGAGTTAGAACTCACATGGATCAGAACCAGTTTTGCTAGTCCTGTCTCCTTACCCTTTTTCCCCCTACCCCTTTCAAATATGAATGTTAATGGGAAGGTTTTTGAAAGCAGTTTTTGAAAGCAGAACCTAAAGATTTATCTAATAAGTTATTTATCTTTTAAAACTATGGTTTGAGATTACTTGGCAACAAAAGACAAAAAACGGGCTACGGATAGTCTTAGGGCAGGACGTGGGCATTGACCTATTTTTTCTTCTTTTTGCAAACTTGGGTTTTGTAGGTATTTAATCTTTTTCATTTGTGAAAAGTATTTTGAAAAACAATAGAAATGTTTTGTTAGTTTACAAATAAATGAAAGTTTAAAACTGGATCGCCTCAGAAATTAAGGAACACTAAAAAGCATAGCCAGAGGATATTTTTAAAAATTCCCACATACCTCAGAAGTTTGCTTAATCTTCATGTTACATTTCTAAGCCAAATTTTTAACTGTATGAGTTATATTTCTCTAAATCTGGATTTTCTCTAAATCTAGGGGCAGCTAAGTCTTACAAAGATTTGTTGAATTATTTTATTCTCAGAGGATATATTTTTGGAACTGCCCCACAAATTTTGTTCATGCGTGAAATATCAATTATTTTCTTTAGAAAACAAATTTTTGTATAGTTCATGATGAAATAGTCATTAGCATTAATTGCCCCCATTTTTTTTGTTTTTCTTCTTAAATGTTATTTTTTAGGTACTCATTGAGTAGTCTCTGCTGGTGTTTCACTCCATGAATATTCAGTATCTATTTCTCTGGTTTGTTTTCCTGTGATTACTGTTAAACGTTCCTTCCTTACAGTTTATCATCAGGCCTCAAGTCTCTGCTTGGTCTGTCTTCCCCAAGTGGTCTCATCCACTATCTTGCCTTCATTAGCCTCTTAATGTCCGTTCTCCAGCTTCCCTAGTTCCAGATGCCTGTTAGATTTTCAACCTGTATGTGCCTCACAAAGCTCAGATTTAACATGTGTAAAACAAAGGGAATCTCCTCCTTCTTTTCCCACCTCCCCCAAAAAAGAAGCAAACAAATATTATACTCTAAATTATCATGCTCTCAGTTATCTTAACATTCCTCATCACTCCCACATTGATTTGGTCACTAAGTGATATATCAAAGTCAGCTTCTATGACTAACCGTTAGTCATTACTTTTTTTTTTTTTTAATTGTGTTTTAGGTGAAAGTTGACAGTGAAAAGTAGTTTTTCGTTAAAAAATTTTGTACACAAATTGTTTTGTGACATTAGTTGCAATCCCCGCAATGTGTCAGCACTCTCCCCCTTTCCTTTGCACCCTGGATTCTCAGTGTCCATTCATCCAGTTTTCCTGTCCCTTCCTGCCTTCTTTTCTTTTGGGCAGGTATTACCCATTTGGTCTCGTATACTTGATTGAACTAAGAAGTGTGTTCCTCGTGTGTTATTGTTTGTTTTATTGGCCTGTCTAATCTTTGGCTGTAAGGTGGACTTCAGGGAGTGGCTTCGGTTCAGAGTTAGCAGGGTGTCTGGGGGTCATAGTCTTGTGAGTTCCTCTGATCTCTGTCAGACCAGTAAGTCTGATCTTTTTTTTTTGTGAATTTGAATTTTGCTCTACATTTTTCTCCCACTCTGCCTGGGACCCTGTATTGTGATCCTGTCACAGTGGTTGGTGGTAGTAGCCAGGCACCATCTAGTTCTTCTGGGCTCAGGCTGGTGGAGGCTGCAGTTCATGTGGTCCATTAGTCCTTTGGACTAATATTTTCCTTGTATCTTTGGTTTTCTTCATTCTCCTTTGCTCCAAACATGATGGGACCAATAGATAGATGGCCGTTTGCAAGCTTTTAAGACCCTAGACACTACTCATGAAAGTAGAATGTATAACATTTTCTTTATGAACTGTGTTATGCTAATTGACCTACATGTCCCCTGAGACCTTGGTCCCCAGCTGTCAGCCCCAGTAACTCAGTCTATGTTGGGGTGAGATGGTATCTCATTGTAGTTTTAATTTGCATTTCTTTAATGGCTAATGAACGCCAGCATGTGTCTGTTAGCTGTCTGAATGTCTTCTTTGGTGAAATGTCGTTTATACCCTTTGCCCATTTTTTATTTAGTTATTTGTTGTTTTGTTGTTGAGGTGTTGAAGTATTCTACAGATTTTAGAGTTTAGACCCTTATCGGATATGTTGTAGCCAAATATTTTTTCCCAGTCTGTAGGTTCTCTTTTTACTCTTTTGATGAAGTCTTTTGATGAGTATATGTGTTTAATTTTTAGGAGCTCCCAGTTAGTCTAGTTTATCTTTTGGTGTTTGTACATTGTTATTTATGGTTGTATTCTCTTTATTAGGGCCCCTAGTGCTGTCCCTGTTTTTTCTTCCATAATCTTTATCATTTAGTCATTAACATTTTTGCTTCCCTAGTTTGGGCCTTTATTATTATTTAGCTGGGCTATTAAAAAAAAATCCTCCTAATCAGACTTCTTCTCTACAGTAATTCCCTGCCAGTGCATTTTTAGCACTATTGACAGTTATTTTTTTAAAATGTTGATTTTTAGTGTTTCACTTTCTTGCATAAAAACCTTTGGTGGCCTCTTACAGCCTACAGGATAAAGTGTGAACTATTATGCCATGTAAGACCAAGGTCCTATCTCATTGTAACTATTTAACTTCATCACTATTTCCTTTTTGCCTCAGATCATATCTGTACCAAACTATGCCACAGTCTCCATGGCATGTGCTTACCTGGCTCTACCTTTGCTCATCCTGTTCCCCTTGCCTGGAGTGTTCTTCCCTCCATTTTTGTTGAGTTCCTAATCATCTTTCACAGCTTAGCTCCAATGTTAGCCCCTCTCCAACTTTGTCTTTTCCGGTGCTTGTCTAGACTTTACATTGCTTTGTAATTATTTATACTGTCTCTTCTACACTACTTTCTTGAAACAGCAGTTATGTGTATTCATCTTTGTTCCTATGACTTGTTGCAGTACCTGGGATATAGTAGTCACCCAATGGATGTTTTTGTTGAATGGGTACCAGAAATACGGTTAAATATATTACCTAGGTTTTGATACCCCATGCGTGTATCAGCTTGTTGTACTGTGGTGGCTTGCATATTGCTGTGATGCAGGAAGCTATGCCACCAGTATTTCAGATACCAGCAGGGTCACCCATGGTGAATAGGTTTCAGCTGAGCTTCCAGACTAAGACAGACTAGGCAGAAGAACCTAGTGGTCTACTTTTGAAAAAAAATTAGCCAGTGAAAACCTTATGAATAGCAGCGGAACATTGTTTGATATAGTGCCAGAGAGAAGCCCCTCAGGTTGGAAGGCACTCAAAATATGACTGGGGAAGAGCTGGCTCCTCACAGTACCTCAAAGTAGAGTTAACCTTAATGACATGGATGGAGTCAAGCTTTAGGGACCTTTGCTGATGTGGCACAACTCAAAATGAGAAGAAACACCTGCAAACATCCACTAATAATAGGAACATGGAATGTACGAAGTAATGAATTTAGGAGAATTGGAAGTTGTCAAAAATGGAACACATAAACATTGATATCCTAGGCATTAGTAAGCTGAAACGGACTGGTATTGGCCATTTTGAATCAGACAATCATATGGTCTACTATGCTGGGAATGACAAATTGAAGCGGGATGGTGTTGCATTCATCGTCAAAAAGAACATTTCAAGATCTCTCCTAAAGTATACCACCGTCAGCAATAGGATAATATCCATACGCCTACAAGGAAGACCAGTTAATACAACTATTATTCAAATTTACGCAGCAAAAGACCTGGAGTTAGAAAACCAAAAGGGAAGAACACACTTAGCATTTCTCAAACTGAAAGAGCTGAAGAAAAAAATTCAAGCCTCAAGTTGCAGTATTGAACAATTCTATGGGGGAAAATATTAAACGACGCAGGAAGCATCAAAAGAAGATGGAAGTAATACACAGAGTCACTGTACCAAAAAGAATTGGTTAACTTTCAACCATTTCAGGAGGTAGCATATGATCAAGAACTGAAGGTACTGAAGGAAGAAATCCAAGCTGTGCACTGATGGCATTGGTGAAAAACAAGGCTCCAGGAATTGACAGAATGCCAACTGAGTTGTTCCAACAAACAAATGCATCACTTAAAGTGCTCACTCATCTATGCTAAGAAATTTGGAAGACAGCTACCTAGCAAACCGACTGGAAGAGATCCATATTTGTGCTCATTCCAAAGAAAGGTGATCCAGCAGAGTGCAGAAATTATCAAACAATATCATTAATATATCACAAACAAGTAAAATTTTGCTAAAGATCATTCAGAACCGGTTACAGTAATACATCAACAGGTGTGATTGTTAAGGGTATGTGTCAACTTGGCTGGACCATGATTCTCTGTGGTTTGGCAGTTATGGTGTAGTTCGGCAGTTGTATGGTGATGTGATCACTTCCATGATAAGATTTGATATAATGCAGTCACCTCCATGATGGGACCTATTGTGAGTAATCAGTCAGTTGAAATGGCATTAACTTGGGGGTGTGGCCTGCATTGAATATATAAGTGGACTTTCTGGCAAGACTCATGGGCTTTTGCTCGCTCTAGATCCTGCAGCTGGCTCCTGTTTGTCTGACCTCCAGTTCTTGGCACTTGAGCTAGCAGCTTACCTGCTATCTTGCTTGCCAGTCTTGGGATTCGTCAGTCTTTGCAGCCTGTGAGCAAGAGCCTGCTGTCAGACATGCTGATCTTGGGTTCGCCAGCCCCTGCGACTACGTGAATCAGGAGAATCCTCTATCCTGACCCACGGACTTAGGACATTCCAGCCTTTACAACCATGTGAGCCATTTCCTTGATAGAAATCTCTATATAGAGATATTTATATGCTTTACTGGTTTTGCTTCTCTAGAGAACCCAGCCTGAGACGACAGGGAACTGCCAGAAATTCAAGCCAGATTCAGAAGAGGACATGGAACGAGGGATATCATTGCTGATGTCAGATGGATCATGGCTGAAAGCAGAGAATACCAAAAAGATGTTTACTTGTGTTTTATTGACTATGCAAAGGCATTCGACTGTGTGGATCATAACAAATTATGGATAACATTGCGAAGAATGGGAATTCCACAACACTAAATTGTGCTCATGAGGAACCTGTACCTAGAGCAGGAGGCAGTTGTTAGAACAGAACAAGGAGATATTGTGTGGTTTAAAGTCAAGAAAGGTGTGTGTCAGGGTTGTATCCTTTCACTATACTTATTCAATCCATATGCTAAGCAAATAATCCAAGAAGCTGCACTATATGAAGAAAAACATGGCATCAGGATTGGAGAAAGTCTCATTAACAGCCTGAGATAGGCAGGTGACACAATCTGGCTTGCTGAAAGCGAAGAGGACTTGAAGCACTTACTAATGAAGATCAAAGACTACAGCCTCCAGTATGGATTATACCTCAACATAAAGAAAACAAAAATCCTTACAACTGGGCCAATAAGCAACATCATGAGAAACGGAGAAAAGATGGAAGTTGTCAAGGATTTCATTTTATTTGGATCCACAATCAACGCCCATGGTAGCACCAGTCAAGAAATCAAACAACACATTGCATTGGGCAAATCTGCTGCAAAAGACCTCTTTAAAGTGTTAAAAAGTTAAAGATGTTACTTTAAGGACTAAGGTGTGCATGACCCAAGCCATGGTGTTTTCAGTCACCTCACATGCGTGCAAAACCTGGACAATGAATAAGGAAGACCAAAGAAGAGTTGATGGCTTTGAGTTGTGGTGATAGTGAAGAATACTGAATATACTATGGGCTTGCCAAAAGAGCAAACCTGTCTTGGAAGAAGTACAGCCAGAATGCTCCTTAGAAGTGAGGATGACAAGACTTCGTTTCACATACTTTGGACATGTTATCAAGAGGGACCAGTCCCTGGAGAAGGACATCATGCTTGGTAAAGTGGAGGGTCAGTGAAAAAGAGGAAGACCCTCAACAAGATGGATTGACACTGTTGCTGCAATAGTGGGCTCAAGCATAACAATGATTTTGTGGATGGCGTGGGACCGGGTGGTGTTTCATTCTGTTGTACACAGGGTCACTATGAGTCGGAACCAACTCGATAGCACTTAACATCAACATAACAACAGGTTTTTGTGAATTTTATCTTAACTATTTAGTAACCTTAACCAATGCGTATCCATTGCAGATAGTTGAAAATTAGGAAAAAATGACAAATTAATACATTATAAAATCTCCATCTCACTTGCATGCTCAGAGAATGGGCTATTAAGGTAAATTTAAATTTTGGTTGATTGAATGATAATAATGTAACTTTTGTTTCAATACATGAACGTTTTTCTAAAATGGATTAAAATATCTTTCTGCCTTAGTGTTGTGGAATGAAATGTTCTTAGTATTTGAGAACTTGGAACACCCAATGGTTTTTTACTCTCAAATAAATGCCATCATTACATTGACATAGATAACATATAGAGTTCCCAAGATAAATGGGGTGCATCACGGTGACTCTGGCTGCTCTTTAGAAATCAGATTTCCAGACCTTATCCCGAGCCTACTAAAATCAGACTCTTTAGTTTGGGGACCCAGGAATGTGTTTCTAATTAAAATCTCCAGGTGATTCTGATGTACAACTAGATTTGGGAACTAATAAAAAGGCTGAGACATACTGGCACAGTACATAACCTGGATGATTTTTTTTTTTTTCTGATAAAAATTCTGATTTATTTCAAGTTTTCCTCCTTTTTGGGTGTGGTTTAATAATCCCACATAATGTTATTCATCTCCTTCAGCAAGGCATCCTGTTGAAAGTGGCTGAAACAATCAAAAGTTGGATTTCATTTTCTCAATGCAGTAAGAAAGATGACTTACTTCATAAATTGGTAAGTGTGCACTTTACATGTTTTTGTCATTTTTCAGGGCTTCACTATTAGTGAGAGAGTTGATGAACCAGAATTTGTTTTGCTACTGATTTGGGCATTTAGAAATTCTGCAATAACTAGGGAACTTTTCCCTAATCTTATGAAATACACCTTTTAATTTGGGTTCTTTAGTATTGTTCATAGTTCTTACAAGAGGTTATTAACCACTTAGAATGGAATATTCTTGTAGTTATTTGTTGGATTACTGATTTATTTGTTAAATTGCTTTTTTATATTACTGATTTATTGCTACCATCTTCCTCCATTGACAAGTATTGTTCTCAACAGGGAGGGAAATAGATTAGTTGGATCTTCTCCCTTTTCACGCCGGAACTTGACTGTCTGCATCCTTAACCCACAGCCTATGATTGACTGGAGGGCAACTGGTTACTGGTTCTGCTTACAGAATTGGGGCAAAATCAGAAGTGGCTTCTCTGTAATTTATTCATTTTGTTAATTTACCATTCTCTGACAACTTAGTATGTGAAATTTAGTCCTGTGAGACTGATAAATCATAGAATTTCCCAAAGACTTGAATAGTCAACATTGAGGGTCTTAGTGATTCCTGTGAGGCTTTCTGATTTTCCTACTCTCTGCTGTAAAATATTTGTTTTTTGACTCCTGACCCCTGTCCTAATGATAAAAAATCCAGTTAGTATAGCTAAGAAATTCAGGTTATAAGTTCTCATGGCTCCCAAAGGCGTAGGCTCCCAGAAGACCTAATCAGGTTACAAGTAAGTAGGGTTCATGATTCTGAGCTGGCCTATGATCTTAGGATGATAATTATTATTGTTATAAATTAACATTTGTAAAGTGATCATTTACAAAGTGCTTTCACATTCTAATTTGGAAATTTAAACAACACGATAAGGTTTAGTGCATAAAGTAAAATGTGCACTCATAAAATACATGAGAAAGTCCCAGCTTCAGATAGTTCATTTTGTTTTAGGAATGCTTATTGTGTCAGTACTGCTAGAAAGTGATAGAACTATAATTTGAACCCAGATCTCCTGGTGCCAGATCCCTCTTTCCTTTATAACACACTATTCTAGCTTGAGTATTATTAGTTTTTGACTGACTAAAATTACTTTTTTTAGCAATCCATATTGGCAAGTTCTGTGTTCAGGGTTTTATCTTTGGTAAAGGGTGTATTAAGAAGGTCAGTGAAGTATCTTGCCATCTAGATAGAATATCATCTCTGTGCAGGTGAAGCCATCCTCATTCTTCAATGATACTACAACTATGGTAAGGTATATGGATCCATATACATTTTTCTGTGGTTGAATGGTAGTCTGCATACTCTTGATATTTTCATTCTTGGTTCTTTGCCATTGGCAACATGCTTCATATCATGTTTCACTATAAAGTGCCAGCTTCTTTATGCATCCCGTTTGTGCCTATATTATGGAGAACTGTAGGAAGTACGTACCTAAGAAATAGCTTGTTAGTAATGGAACAAGGAATTGCCCATTTGGCTTCTGGGGTGAGATTGATTAACTTCTTTCCCTTGATTATGACATATTTACAGTTTCGTTAGCTATACAAATCTTAGGAGCCCTACTGGTGCAGTGGTTAAAGAACTAGACTGCTAACCAAAAGATCAGCAGTTTGAACCCATCAGCCTCAGAAAGATGTGGCAGTCTGCTTCCATAAAGATTTACAGCCTTAGAAACCCTGTGAGGCAGTTCTACTTGGAATCAACTCAATGGCAGTGGGTTTGGTTTTTCTGGTTATGTACAAATATTGAAATAGGCCTTCTTTCCGTATATAAAAATACTGTCAGTTGCCCCATGGAATCTGAAGATCTTACCATTGTTCATTTTTATTAGGGTAGTATTTTTCTTAAAGATTTTTAAAAATCAGAAAAATAGCACTTTTTAGCCTATAAAGTGCTTTCACATATGTTATCTCATTTGATGCTCATTTCAACTTTATTAAATAGCACCATAGTATTAAAGTGTTACAAGATCACTGAAGTATATTGGCACACGCAAAAGTCTCCTTCTCCATCCCTAGGGCTAAAAATAGAAATCTCTCTATTGTCTTGCTGTGCTTTGTCTTATCCTTTTCATTCTATCCAGGCAGATCTTCCTAAACTACTTTCTTATCATGCCACTTCCCTATTCAGATTCTAAAATGATTCCCATTATCCATGAAATCAAGTCCAAATTCAACATTAAAGAATCTGCATAAGTTGGCCCTAACCTACCATTTCCAACCTTATCTACCAGTATTTTCATTTTTTTTCTCTATTCATTGGAATCTTTACCATAACAATCTTAGCTTTTCCTCAGGCCCTTTCCCAGAAACTCCAGTCTATTGGATATGTTGTGTTCTGTATCAATCCAGTAATAATTATCTATGCTATGTTCTGTAAGTTTTTGTATTATATTCAATGTGTGCTTTTCTTTATTGTGTTTTAATTACTTCATGTGTAGTAACAGCACTAACTGCTAACACTTGTATAATGCTTACTATGTGCCAGATGGTCTTCTTATTATTTTACAGGTATTGACTTATTTAATCCTCACAACAGCCCTGTGAGGTAGGTACTAGTATTACCCCAATTTTGCAGATGAGGAAACTGGCACAGAGAAGTTACTAACTTTCTCACTCATAGTAAGTTGTAGAGCTAGGATATAAAACTAGGTAATATCTAAGTCTTGGCACTCTAAAACTTGTTGAGGGTAAGCCACAGTTCACATAGTACACCTCCCACAGGATAGAGCTTCCAACTATTTAGATAATACTTACTAATATTTCATCTCATAGTGACTCATCGCTGTGAGTTGGAATTGATTCGACGACCATGGGTTTGGTTTTACTAATATTTAAATCGATCAGAAATAGCGCCTTTAATTTTCTTCATTTGTAGACACTTGGACCTGGGCTTCACAGCACCAGTACAGCTATTGTGACATGTTTCTTAATTTTGTTTGTGTCTATTTTCCTGATAGTGTGATTGCTGTGTACAACACAGTTTCCATATTTTCTACAGAAATGTGATCAGTTCCTATTTTTATAATTAAAGAATAATATATAATTTTACAGTTTATCCTTAAGAAAGAAACTTAATTCGTTAATTTAATCTCATTCAACTCAACAGTTACAATTATCAGAATATAGTTCACGTTCTTCCTTTGTAGAGGCACTCTCATACAGATGACACTACTTTAGATATTTGGAGCATCTTGATCCCTTTCAAGTTCCTTTGTACTTATAGATGATATACAGGGAAGCAGAATCAGTCAACTAATAAAGACTTACTTAGGATTTGAAATCAGAGTTGTGGGAAGTTACTTTCTGTCTTTGGGCTTCGGTTTTCTCCTGCATAAAATGGAGAGGAGGGTGATAATGTACATCACAGGGTTACTGTGAGAATTAAACTACCTGTTCTAACACTGCTACTTCATCTCTTACCTCTCTACCACATGCACTCTGCACATAGCTAATATCAGATGGCTTGCAGCTCCCCAAACTAGAAAGATTTTTATTCTACCCCATCCCACTCTCCTAACTCTTTCATCTGGTCAGTTCTTGTTCTTCCTTTAAGACTCAGCTCAGGCATCACCCCTACTTTCTCTGACTTCATCACAAGTTTGGTTCCTCTATACCATTTCACAGTGTCCTTTGTATATCAAATTGCACTGCTTTGCACATTATTTTGTAACTGTTACTTTTCAGTCTTCTCCATTAGACTATGAACTCTTTGAGAGTAGGTACTTATATGTCTTGTTCGTTTTTTGTGTCTTCAGTGTCAAGCATGGTGCCTGACATGTAGAAGATATTCATTGATAGATGGATAGAAGGAAGAAGGGAGGAATGAGCTGGTATATGTGAAAGCATTTTGTAAACTACAGAGTGCTATGCAAATGTTAGTGTGATTTTTCATTACATTCCTTAATGATGTATTTTTAATATCTGAAGGTCCATTCTTAGAAGGCCTTGATCCTGCTGATATAATTATTAGATATGGGCTATATTGTTACAGTTACACATCTTTCAGTGTTACACTAATATATTTTCCATGTTGTGTTATGGCAATTTAATTAATCAGGTTTATTAATTTGTGATTACTTGACATTTCTTTATTGAAAATTTGTATTTCACATCTGATGGCCTGATGATGTCCACCTCAGTGTTTTTGTTTCACAAGTACAATGAAACTAAAATCCCACACTGAAGATAGATTAGACTGTTGTTTCTTCTACATGGAGTCTGAGTTAAAAATAAACACCTAAATTTTGTTAGTAAATTAGGAGTTTAGCATTTAATACAAAATTATATATGTATTCATTCCTCTCTTGTGGTCCTTTAATGGCAAGGATATTGGATTCCGACTCGACTCACTACATACCATCCTGCAACAGGAAGTCCTGTTACAAGAGGATGTGGAGCTGATTGAGCTACTTGATCCCAGTATCCTGTCTGCAGGGCAACCTCAACAACAGGAAAATGGACACCTTCCAACACTTCACTCCCTGGCAACCCCTGATATTTGGTACTGTCCAGAAAACATCTATCCTTTGACTGTTTACGTATAAAGAATTAGCAGAGGAAATTCATCATCATGCTGTCCATTATAAAGGCATTATTACCATTCCATACATTCTAATGTTACAGTTAATGTAATGATATATCGGAGGTTAAAAAGATACCTTTCTAAGGTAAATGCAATTTAAAGTGAAGCTAGAAAAATCCAATTGATTATCATATGCTTCCAAATGAGTATAATTAGTTCTGTGCTTAAAAATAAAAAACCATTACCGTCAAGTCGATTCCGACTCGTAGTGACCTTATAGGACAGCGTAGAACTGCCCCATAGGGTTTCCAAGGAGCAGCTGGTGGATTCAAACTGCAGACGTTTTGGTTAGCAGCTGAAGCTCTTAACCACTGCTCCTCTGTGCTTAGCTACCCAAAAAGCAAGTATAACATGTACCAAAAAGAATCTCTCTCACCCATATACCCATGTACATGTGTATATGCAAACCTAGCCAGTTCTTTATGTTTCTCTTTAATTAAGAGATTATATCATAACCACCTTGTAGAGTTACCAAGCATAGGCTACAATACGGAGGTAAAAGTCAACTCTTGGCTGAGTTGGTTAAGAGGAGTTCATAGGGAACATAGTTTGGCTATTCAAACTATCCTGAAACTTTTCAACCACTCAAAGTATTAGGGTCTAATACCCAGGCCATAATCTGTAAAAAAGAAAAAAAAGAGTGAGTAGTAAAAAGGGATTTTATATGTACAAAACTGTTAGTGTCCTCCCCTATTAAAGTGTGATCTTATTAAATTTGACAGAGAAGGGAAGAATGAATCAATGAATGAATTAAATCACTTCATGAACTGTTCAAGTTAACAGGCAGTTACATTCCTTGGCCTCAGTGTCCTGAATTTATCTCTTTTCTGTGACACTGACAAATGCCTCATATTGCAATAGACAGAAAGTATAATGTTTTCCAGATCTATAGTCACTCAAATATCATCCATCATGAGACAATAGAGCATCTTATCCTTCAAAAATATAAGAATTCAAGGAGCTGCTGGAAGAAACTGTAGAGTTTAAGAGTTTGCTACTTTACTTTCAAGTTGTCTTTACTCAAAAATGTGATTAAGCAACTAGGAAGAACAAGAACTGACCAGATGAAAGAGTTAGGAGAGTGGGATGGGGTAGAATAAACATGTCCATATCAAAGACTGCAGTATGTGTTTTCCAAATTAGTGGGTAGAATAATCCGTGATGATTATTTAAAATTAGATGCCTTTATTCAAAACAATTATTCGGTATATCTTATTTCTAATTGGAAAAACATTTACATTTTCTTGAGAAATTATGTGTTTCTGTGTTAACAAAATCTGATTTTAGAAAAAAGGATATTTTCCCCAAAGTAGTATTTTTGCTTTTAAATCTGTAAAGTTGGATTTTAAAATATGTAATTTGCTTTTTGAGTAAAGATACCACATCTTAAAAAAAAAAAAAAATGGTTATAGAAGACACCTATTTCTATGTCCTTTACCTAAATTTGGAAACTCAGATCTTAATAACTAAGCACCATTGTTTAGTTTCTTGAAAAAAATCTGCTGTACTTTTTTATGTCATACTTTACAAAGAAGCTATCATTTTATCTGTTTTAGTCAACTTGACTTTACAATTTTTTTTTAGCAATTAAAGTAACTCGTCTATTTTTTCTTTAGTCTGATGGATATCATGTTCTTGATTTCTTTGTTCCTAGGGATGTGTCAATGCTATTTGTCTTCATTAGTTTGCTGGTTATGCTTCCCGCTTGGTGGATTGTATCTTCCTGGCTGGTATGGGGAGTGATTCTATTTGTTTATCTGGTCATAAGAGCTTTGAGATTATGGAGGACAGCCAAACTACAAGTGACCCTAAAAAAATATACTGCCCATTTGGGTAATACAGCAGCAAATAGCCGAGCTTTTACAAACCTTGTGAGAAAATCATTGCGTCTCATTCAAGAAACTGAAGTCATTTCCAGAGGATTTACACTGTGAGTTCATTTTTTATTTAATTTTAAAAATGATTCCTTTCTGCTACATTGTAAAATGCAAATATTTCTTACCTATTTTCATTTCTGTCTTATATTTACAGAAAAAATGGGTTTTTCTTTAGCACTTATTAAATTCTATTAACTGCTAAATGAAGGAATAAATACATGCTATACTTAATATGTAGTATGATTCTGTTTACCTACCTTGAGGAACCAAAGTCCTTTGAGAATAATGACTATTTCTGTAGGTTACCATGTGATTTATATTAGATAATATAGAGCGAGTGCCTGATACCAGCCCTAGCATGCAATAAACCCATTGCCGTCGAGTAGATTCTGACTTGTAGCGACCCTATTAGGACAGAATAGAACTGACCCATAGGGTTTCCAAGGCTGTAATCTTTACGTAAGCAGACTGCCGCATCTTTCTCCATCAGAGCAGCTCATGAGTTTGAACTGCTGACCTTTCGGTTAGCAGCCAGGCTCTTAACCACTGCGTCACGAGGTCTCCTTTAGCATGCAGTAGTTACCCAATAAATGTTTGTTTTCTTTACTTCCTGTCAAATGCCCTCTTCTCCCAGTTTAAATGTTATATTGACATGAATTCATTTTAAAAATCCTCAGCACGTGTTAATGATATTCTTTAGGTAAATATTAGCAAATATTACGGCACTGATACTGTCAGAATGTTATGCAGACAGTGATGTTTCACATTCCCATAGGTAATTAATATTCACCAGTCCATCTGGAAGTGTATTAAGCTACAGGATATACTGGCTACTTATTCTGTAATTAAAGGGAAAGTTATATTTATTGAATACCAGCTATGCTTCATGTACTGTGCTAGATACTTTGCATACAATTATGATAACATTGTATGATTTTGCATATAATTGTATGATAAAGGCGTGCGATTATAAGTGGTAGGACAAGTATTCAAATCTATTTCCATCTGACTCCAAAGCCTATTTCCAGTGCACTAGGCTGCCTGCCAGAAACTTACATTTGACAGTTGTACTATAGTATGTGTAATTATGTAACCTTTGCAATCTATAGGTGAGAGAAAGTAAGTATACGATGAAGAATAATCATTGCTCTTAATTAGTTGTATCTGGAAAATCAAGAAAATGGGGAAAGAAAGAATTTCTGGTGGTCAATGGATCGTTCACTGTGCTATAGAATAGTACTTAAATAATCTTGATACATAAAAGTTGTATCTAGAAAACCATGAAATAGGAAAGTGGAAGAATCTCCAGTAGTCATCTCATTCTTCACTCTGCTGTACTCTAGAACAGTATTTAAACAGTTTCAAGACATAAAAGGGATTTTATAATTTCCCTTTCTGCTCATATTATGAATTATAGTGACCCCAAGTTGCTAGAGGATAGCGAATACTAAAAGTTGGAAATCACACTAAGAATAAATAATAGCTCCTTTTTATTCTTGATTTACACAGCATTTTATTGAGGGGACTTGTCAAGCAAAGTGGCTACGTGTCCAATTCTTAGTTAGGTATGTATAGAAGAGTCTATGCCTTTTGTCATTGTCCAACTTTTACCTATATGTAAGGTGAAGTGAGCCAGTTAGACATGATTTATTTCCATATTATGCCTTTGCCCATTCAGATGACAGACAGGAAGAAAAAAGAAATATTGGAAGAACTTGTGCTTCAGTTGTCTTCATTTAACTGGATAATGGAATGAAAAAAGTCATGAGGAACAGTAAATCTTGAATCATGATTTTTTAAAAAAATAGTCTGTTTTTAAAACTGATTTAGTAAAATGGAGCACATATAGTGCCGTATATTAAAATCAAGACTGCTGTGTTGTCTCTGCCACAATTTGTCCTCTCTAGCAAATAATTTAACCCTTCTTTGCTGCATTCCCTTAAATAAGTCATTGTGCACTACTTTTTCTAGATTTTTAATATCTAAGTATATTTTAGTTTGTTCTAATATTTAAGTTTTGAGTTAGAAGTCTTATTTTACAGGTTCATGGATATAAGAAGTTCATAAATTCCAATACTTTGTTCATTAGGAAAGGTTATGGATTAGGTGAAAAAAATGATTATTTCATAACTAATATTGAATTGAGCATACTTCCAGTTCCAAAGACATAGTACATACTATGTCACTACCTGTTGCAATTAGGTACTCCCCATTAATCTAATGGGAAGTGCCATGAAAAGTGCTTCCTCTTTAACAGTTCTGAGAGTAGCTATACTACTACATAGTAACCCTTACTTTGCCTTTCTACTTGCATTTCCCTGTTGGCCACTGGTCCTGTTATCTTTCTGCGTCCCCTACTTCATTTTGAGTAGGTAAGTGCCAGTGGCAGCAGGTGGGTAAGTAATTTTACCCTACTTTTATGAATATACAGAATATATTTCTGTATGATATTGGATTATTCTGTACAAGTGATCAAATGTACGATTAACAAACTTATGTAAGTATGCATAAGAACTTGATAAGTTTTATAATTAAGGACTTCGTACGTCCTATAGATACAGATTTTGAAAACTGAATGTAAATAGTTCCACTTTAGTATATTTTAGCAGGCAGTGTCTATATGTAAAAAGTGATGCAAATTCTTACATAAATATTCCTCAGTACATTTCTGCTATATCTCAACTAATATTATTTTCCCACATCAGAGGAAGCCTTTACTCTTTGAGAATTTAAGTTTTCATTTGTCTTTTTCCTGGTAATTATATATGTATCTGGGGAATGGCCATTTATGGGACCTGAGTTGGGAGGGATAGTTTTAATCATTTTCTAGTGAAAATCATGAAAAAGGATTTTTCGTAAGTTTAATAGAATTGTGGATTTAGGAAACAAAAACTTTAGGACACCTGTACAGTTGTATCACATTTTACTTTTCAAGTTTGCTTGACAGGGTCAGTGCTGCTTGCCCATTTAATAAAGCTGGACAGCATCCCAGTCAGCATCTCATCGGTCTTCGGAAAGCTGTCTACAGAACTGTCAGAGCCAACTTTCAAGCAGCAAGGCTAGCTACCCTATATATGCTGAAAAAATATCCTTTTCTGGCTATACGTGGGAACAAACAATGTTTCTGGTATCCTTAATATAAATATAGTTGCGTCCTGTAAAAGTTAACTGTAAACTGAGATTGCATATTTTGAAACTAATTTCCACCATAACTTCTATTTTAAAACTGGAAATGCATTCCAAGGGGAATGACAAAATAGACAGGAAGAAAGTTCTCTCGTGTGGCTCATTTTCAACAAGAGGAGAACTTGAAGTCCCTCCCTTTGCTGGTCCAGAAAACAAAGTCAAAAGAACCTGACTTTGTTTCAGCTAACATTTTCTTAAAAATTACTAAACATGGCAGATTTGCAACATGACATGATAATAAACTTGCAACAGGAAATCCTTCCCCTTTCAAAGAACAGAGGCTCTAGAGTCAGATTGCCTAAGTTTATATTTTGGCTTTATTGGTTACTCCTATGTAACCTTAAGTAAGTTTTTAAACCTCTCTGTACCTTGCTTTTCTCTTCTTTAAAACAGCAATAATAACATAATCTTCCTCATTTGTGTTTCTGTTGAGATCAAATGAGTTAATGCATGTAAAATGCTTAGACAGTGTCTGGCGTATGGTAAGCACTCACACACTACATGACAATAAAAGTCTGTTGCTTAAATTTCTAAATCAGGAAATTCATTGTTAACATAAAGTAAAGGTGTATAAGATCTTTATCTTAGTTGAGATTCATAGATAAGTTAAATTATGAGTAAATGAAGGGCAAAAAGACTACTTTGCACGGATAAATATAATGCTTCAAGTTTACAGAATGCTGTATGTTCTATCGTTATATCCTCACACAAACCTTCTCAGCTAGATTTTCTTGTCTCCACGCAATGAGAAAACTAAAATATAGGTTAAGTGACTTACTCAGTGTCACACAACTGTTAATAGGTGAAGTTGTGTCTTGACTGTAAGACTTATAACTTAAAATGTTTTATATATATTCTTACTGTACTGTACTACCTCTTTGGAAATGGAGAGAAAACATTTTAATTTTAGCCAAGAATTTTTTTTTTTTTTTATTGTACTTCAGGTGAAGGCTTACAGAACAAATAGTTTCTTATGAAACAGTAGTACACATATTGTTTTATGACATTGGTTAACAACTCCACAACATGTCAACCCTCTCCCTTCTCGACCTTTTTTTTTTTTTTTTTTTTTGGTGAAAATATACACAGCCAAAGATACACCATTTCAGAAATTTCTACATGCACAGTTTAGTGACATCGACTACGCTCTTCCAGTTGTGCTGCTATTCTCACTTTAGATGAAGGCTTACAGAACAAAATAGTTTCTCATTTAACAGTTAGTACACTTGTTGCCCTATGACAATGGTTAACAACCTCACAACACATTAACACTATCCTTACTCAACTTTGGGTGCCCTATCACCAACTTTCCTGTCCCCTTCTGCCTTCTGGCCCTTGTTCCTGGACTGCTATGCCTCATTAGTCCCATTTGGTTTTATGGGGCTGTTCACTCCCCTAGCCAAGAATTTTTCAATTCTCCCAATGTCTAAATACCCGCTTGCTCTGTGACAGCCACTCTTGTATGTGCTAGGGAGACACAGTGAAAAGGTACACTACCTACTTTTAAAGACTTATTTGAGTGTGGTCAATAGATAATATTCATAATAAAAAAAAATACCTGTTACCTTAGATCAATTCCAACTTGTGGTGACCCCACGTGGTACAGAATAGAACTACTCCATAGAATTTTCAAACCACCAACCTTTAGGTTAGTAATAGAGTGCTAACCGTTTGTGCCACCTAGGGACCGATAGTATTCATAATACAATATAAATGCCATCCAACAGAGCAGAACAACTTACTTGCCCAATGGAGTCAGGAGGCTTCCAGGGAGATGACATCTGAGTTCAGTCACAAAGAATGAGTAGGAGTTGGCCATGAGGATGATAAGAGTCTGCATTCCAGGTAGAAGTAAGCAAAAAAAGCATGCAGAAAAATAGAGGTATGACAGTGTGGCATGTGAACTGCAAGTACAGTGAATATTTATTGAACATAAATTCAGTGTCAAGCAATATGCTAGTCACTAAATATACAATGGTAAACAAAATAGACATGATCCCTGCTTCATAGAGCTTATAGTTGAGTGAGAAGTTGGCAGGGGAGTGAGAGGGTAGCCTCACAAAGATTGCAGGTTGTATGAGTTCCCTGTACCAGTCATTTTTCTAGATACTGAGGATCTAGCAGTGAACAAGACAGACAAGATCTTTGTTCTCATCAAGCTTACCTTCTAGTGAGTAAAATAATAAAAAGTGAACAGATATTTTCAAATATAAGAAAAAAAACTCAATAGGATAGAGATTGACTGATGGGGCACTGCTTTTTTTAAAAAATTTTTTGATTGTAGTTAAAGTGAAAGTTTACATTTCAAGTTAGTCTCTAATACAAAAATTTATACATAAATTGTTATGTGCCCTAATTGCTTAACCGGTTCTGCGACAGCACACTCCTCCTTTCCACCCGATTCCCCATGTCCATTCAACCAGCTCCTAACCCTTTCTGCCTTCTCATCTCACCTCTGGACAGAAGCCACCCATTTAGTCTCATGTATCTACTTGAGCTAAGAAGCACACTCTTCACAAGTGTCATTTTATGTCCACAGTCCGGTTCAATCTTTGTCTGAAGAGTTGGCCTTGGAAATTGTTTTAGTTTTGGGCTGATAAGAGAGTCCGGGGGCCATGATTTCCAGGGTGCCTCCAGTCTCAGTCAGACCATTAAGTCTGGTCTTTTAACTAGAATTTGAGTTCTGTACCCCACCTTTCTCCTGCTCCATCAGGGACTCTCTGTTGTGTTCCCTGTCAGGGCGGTCATTGGTGGTAGCCGGGCACCATCTAGTTCTTCTGGTCTCAGGCTGATGAAGTCTCTGGTTTATGTGGCCCTTTCTGTCTCTTGGGCTAATACTCTCCTTGTGTCTTTGGTGTTCTTCATTCTCCTTTACTTCAGGTGGTTGGGACCAGCTGATGCATCTTAGATGGCCGCTTGCAAGCTTTTAAGACCCCAGACGCCACTCACCAAAGTAGGATGCAGAACATTTTCTTAATAAACTTTGTTACACCGATTGACCTAGATGTCCCTTGAAAGCATGGTCCCCAGACCGCTGCACCTGCTACTCTGTCCCTCAAAGTGTTTGATTGTATTCAGGAAACTTCTTAGCTTTGGTTTAGTCCAGTTGTGCTGACTTCCCATGTAGTATGTAGGGTGCTGCTTTTGATTGGATAGTAGGGGAAGTCCCCTCAGAAGATGGCATTTAAATTGGGATCTAAATGACTAGAAAGATCTGGGATAAGTGTTTCAGTTAGATGAACTAGTGAGTATAAAGATCTTGTGGCAGGAATGAGTTTATCATGATTGAAATATAGAAAGAAGACTCATGGCTGGAGCACAGTAAGTCGGGAGGTAGAGTATGAGATGAGATTCAGAGGTAGGCAGGGGCCAGATCGTATTCTCTACAGAAGAAACTTTAAGGAATTAAAGTTTTTTTTAAATCCAACTATTTCTTTGAAAAGATTAATAAGATATATCCCCTCGTAAGCCTGATCAAAGAGCCCAGGTGGTGCGATGGTTAAGCACCAGGCTGCTAACCAAGAGGTCAGCAGTATAAACCCCAGCTGCTCCGAAGGAGAAAGATATGGCAGTCTACTTCCATAAAGATTTACAGCCTTGGAAACCCTATGGCGCAGTTCCACTCTATCCTATAGGGTCACTGTGAGTCAGAATCTACTCAAGGGCAATGGATTTGGTTTTGGTTAAGCCTGATCAAAGTAAAAAGAGCAAAAATATGGAAAAATTTATAATGATAATAGAATTGTAACCATAAATATGGAAGAAATTAAAATAATTATAAGGGAATAGAATATGCAGTTCTGTGGTAGCAGCTTTGAAAATGTAGGGGGAAGTGGATCATTTCCTATTAAAATATAAATCTCCAAAACTGACCCAGGATGAAGTCGAAAACTTACAGAGGTTGAACATATGATAAAAAATAGGCCATTTGAAAAATTAAACACCTGAATATATCTAAACAATGGAAAATATGCAGCTATAAATAAAGCGATAAAGTTCTTGATATACTAATGTGGAATAATTTCTAAATTATATTGTTAGTTGGAAAAAAAAACAAAGTACACCAGACAGTCTTTACAGTATGCTTCTATTTGTATTTAAAAGGCTATATATATACGTGTGAAATAATTCCTGTGTGGCACAAACTGTTAAGTTCTAGACTATTAGCGGAAAGATTGGCGGTTTTACTCACCCAGAGGCACTTAGGAAGATAGGCCTGGAGATCTGCTTCCGAAAGATCAGAGCCTTGAAAACCCTGTGAAGCAGTTCTGGTCTGCACACATAGGGTCGCCATGAATCAGAATCAACAGCAACTAATAACAACAACATAGGAGGGGATGTGTGTTTGTGTGTATACGTATACATGTATATCCTCACATACATACATATTTATATTTGGATTTGCTTTTGTGTAGCATAAAATATCCTGAAGAATACACAAGATACTGGTAACAGTGATTGCCTTTGCCTTTAGGTAGGGAAACTAGGTGGAAAAGGGTTAGGAGTAGGAAGTAGCCTTCGCTGTACCACTTAATACCTCATGAATTTTGAACCATGTGAATGTATCACCTATTCAAAAACTAAATGAATAAAAAAAATTAAAACTATCAGGTGCAGATGATTTTATAGTTTTCTTAAAAGCGATTTCAGACCATAGAAATGGTTAGAAAGCTCCCCTACATCATTTTATTTATGAAAATACTATGATGTCAGTCCCATAACTTAATGTATTACAAAAAATAAAAACTATAGACCAATTGTACATATAAACCAAACTCATAACGACCCTATAGGACAGAGTAGAACTTCCCCATAAGGTTTCTAAGGAGCGGCTGGTAAGTTTGAACTGCTGACCTTTCAGTTAGCAGCCAAGCTCTTAACCATTGCACCACCAGGGCTCCAAATTGCACATATGGAGATGAAAAATATTTAAATAGAATATTTATAAATTTAATCTAAAAATTATAGATTATCATAATATGACCAAATAGGAGTGTACTAGAAATACAAGGATGGTTCAATATCAAGAATTGTGTGGATATAATTCCTTACAAAAACAAATTAAAGGGGGGAAAAAAAACCACGTAATTATATTGATAGATGCCCATGAGGAACAGGAAAGAGGAAACAAAACAATAGTTTATGTCAAACAACCTAGATAGGGTCAGTGCTACTTATATCAGTAGTCTGTGTATTTCAGATAATGTCCAGCTAATGATGTCCTGCAGTATGCAGACTGGGAGGAGAAGAGAAGTATATACTGTAGCGTAGTGATGGGCTGAGCCATGACAGAGTAAAGTACACAATACAGTCTCAAAAGGTAGGTATCAAAAATAACTAAATTAACACTTTGGCACTTCTGAAGAGTTGAACTTTTAATTATTTAAATATGATATCTTGTTCACAAGTATCTTGTAATATATCTGAGGTGTTACTTAATATATTAGATCTTAAGATTAGTTTCGGTTTAAAAAACTAAAGTAAATCTCCAGTAAAAGTTTAAAATGAAGATTAGTAAATTTAATGTTGAACAGTTTTACTTTAATAAAAAGGCTTTGTTGATTGCCTTAACCTAATTTAACCTACCCCCTGAACTCTGAGAGTGACAATGTAACCAACTACATCTGTGTGGTGCCTTTTAAGGAGCTGGGCCTTGGACTTAGTGACGAACAGATTTCAGAAGAGGAAGCTCATAACCTTACAGATGGCTTCAGCCTGCCTGCATTGAAGGTAGTACGTTTTTGACAGAGAAGGGCTGAAGAAATGATAGATTTTCCTATTTTAATACAGTTTTTCCACGTTCTGGTAGTACTAATTTGCTGTTGCTTTCAGAGAAATGAGTGATAAGCCTGGCCATCACTTATACACAGACTAGTAAAAAATTTTTTTATAGTACATTTGTGATTAAAATATGCCTATAAGATTTCGCTAATGATTTTACTAAAATTCTCACTGGTTGGAATTTTGTATCTAATTGTGTTTTTAAGGGTGCTTTTTGCCATCAACTTTAAACACGTTCCAGTATTTATACTAGAAAACTTAGGATAAAATACATTCAACTAAGTGATCCCTTAACATCGGTGGGTTATTTCCACAGCCATGTGTATCTGACTATGTATTAACCTCCCTTTGCCCTAGATATGTCTGCTCAGTCTTTTGTTTTTAACTTTCTTATAAAACCTAAGCTTTCTACAATACTACAAATAGTTCTTGCCATCATCACACTGTTGAATTGTGGCATATATCAAAATCTTAACACCAGTCCACCCCATCTAAGCCGGTATTATCTTTTCCAGACTACTGTAGTTGCCCCCTGACTGACTTCCATTGCTTCTTTTCTTATCCCCCTGTAGCCTGAATTATCCTTTTGAAATGTGAATCACAGCAAGTTATCCTTCTTCTCCAAGTTCTTTCTCCATCACTCTTATACTTATTTTTCTCTCACAGCCTTTATTATGTGACATTACTACATTGTAAACCTACTTTATATTTCTTATCTCTCCAACTAAAATATAGGTATCAGGAGGGTAAAAACTTGGTCTGTTTTGTTTGTTGCTATGCGTCTTCAGCACCTAGAACAGAGTCTGGCACAAAGTAGATGCTCAGTACTGTATTTTTACCCAAATAACACGTGCCTTCTATGTTTGTTTGCCACCTGTGCCCTCCCCCACGGAGGTATTTTTGTCAGCTCGCTATGCTAATTTTTTTTTTTTTTTTTACAGCAACATGTAAAAAAAAAAATTGCCATAGCACTGCCTGGTTGGCAAACAAATGTAGAAGGCGCACATTATTTTTGTAAAATACGATAGATATTTGTTGAATGAACAAATTTATTCCTTCAATATCATTGAAATAACTGAAGAAAAATATTCAAGAGCACTGTCCTAAATGTCTGGAAACATCTTTTTTTATCCATCAATGACACATTTCTTTGGATTTGTATAGGTCTGTCAGTCCTTCTGTCTTCTTTTCTCCTATGTGTAAAATTATTTTAATCATGATTGAGGGAAGATTCACATCTAATAGATGTGGCCCATTCCACCAACACTTCCCTTCTGGGGTAGAATTTTATTAAACCATATTTGTTACCTCAGAAGTTCCCACATACCATGACTACGTGATTTGATATAACATTCTTGGCTCATATTTTGATATAACATTTTTGGCTAATCTTCAGTGTTAGTTCAAGCTCAGCTATATTCATTACTTAGGGTAAAGTGAAAAATTTGAACCAGGAGTTAAGATAAACAAGTTTTTAGTTTGTTTTGAATGTTGACCGATATATTTTATTGATCTAGTCTCTCTCTCTCTTGTTTTTTTAGGTTTTGTTTCAACTCTGGGTGGCACAGAGTTCAGAGTTCTTCAGACGGTTAGCCCTGTTACTTTCTACAGCGAATTCACCTCCTGGGCCCTTACTTACTCCAGCACTTTTGCCTCATCGTATTTTATGTGATGTGATTCAAGGTCTACCTCATGCACATTCTGCCTGTTTGGAAGAGCTAAAGCGCAGCTATGAGTTCTATCGATACTTTGAAACTCAACATCAGTCTGTATCCCAGTGTTTATCCAAAACTCAACAGAAGTCAAGAGAACTGAATAACGTTCACACCGCAGTACGCAGCTTGCAGCTCCATCTGAAAGCATTACTGAATGAGTAAGTTCAGAAGCCATATAAGGAAATGTCCCCATGGTTAGCAAGCTTCATTCTTGTACCATTGTGGTTGTTGACTTTATCTTAGCTAGAAAGAGGGGAAAAAATTGAGACATGCAGCATGAAGGATGATTTATAGCCATGAATGTAGCAGAGAAACAATTATTTGTTAAGTATTATAATTTAAGTACTATAATTTTGGGGAGCCATTTATAGTTTTACTTTTCCTAAATTCTACTTAGAAAGATAATTAGGACTAAAGGAGATGATGTTCATTCTGTTTGAGAGCTGAAATATGCGAGATTATAAAGAATGAGCTTCCTTCCTGCCAATTCCCATTACTGAATGTTTTGATCAAATATTCTGTAGAGGAATCCTGATTAAAAGAGGGGAGTATGCAGAACAGAATTTCAGATTCTCAGTGGAATCCAGACTTTCAGGAGCCAATGAGGCTAGATGAACCCCTGAGACAATCTTTAAACCTTAAATCTAAAACCAGAACTATCCCCTGAAGTCTCCTTTGAACCAATCACCAGTTTGGCTTAATTAGTAACGTATGTCTGCCTTAAGCGTTGTGCTCTCTTTTAAAGAACTGCCCACGTGGGATCAAATTGACAACAGCAACTCGAAAGGTTATATGAGAAGCTTAGGGGCAGTAATATGTTAATGGTCGTGGAATAATTTGGAAAAGGATACCAAGAATGGTTGCACAACTGGACTTTGGAACCTGCAGTCTGAGAGAATTATCTGCCAGCATTATCCCAAGCCAAACCCACTGCCATTGAGTCAGTTCCGGCTTATAACGACCCCATAGGGTTCCCGAGGTGTAAATCTCTACGGAAGCAGACTGCAACATCTTTTTCCCGTGGAGCCACTGGTGGTTTTGAACCGCTGATCTTTTGGTTAGCAGTCAAGTGCCTTGACAACTGCTCTACCAGGGTTCCTTTATAAGAGGTATTGTTATACATAATTGAAGAGTGGTATATTGCTATTTTTCTAATAAATTCCAACAGATTTGGACATTTTTCTGTAGCACAGGACAAGTTTTATGGCCCCAACCGAATAATAAAATGTAGGGTCATAGTTTGTATTTGTTGATCTTTCACTTTGCCACAGCATTTTGGTACTCTGCCCTAATTCTCAAAATTTTAGGTTCTACTTTGATATACCTTTTTCAATTAAAAATGTTCTTTTCATAAATTTCTACATGGAGAATTTTTCAGAAAACAATTTCAAGTTTTAAAATTGAGTCATGGCATGAAGTATCTGAATACAATCATTTCTGGTGAGATTTTTCAGTAACACATATTGATAGCATAGAACTGGAGAAAATGAATGGTTGGGTTATATCATATAATCAGGAAGATGGATGTAAAGAATGGTCAGAGGAATTTAATGAGCTGATAAGATTATACTTGGTATGCCTGACCTTGAATACCAAGCAAGAAATGGGAGGGACAGGGTAGCAGTCTATTTTGTAAGATAAAATAGGTCAAAAGGACTTGAAGTCGCAATAAAATCAAAATTCTAGTTTATTGGAGTAAAGGAGGATATGATATGCAAGGACGGGAAATTAAGGTCAGGAAGACATTTTGAGAAGGTACATTTTAATTGATCGGTTAAGATGTAATACTGATAACGTTTGGGGCACAGGAAAGATTAAGAAAGTTTGAACCCACCAGCCACTCCATGGGAGAAAGATGTGCAGTCTGCTTCCACAAAGATTACAGCCTTGGAAACCCTATGGGGCAGTTCTGCTCTGTCCTATAGGGTCGCTATGAGTCGAAATAGTCTCAACCATAGTGGGTTTGGTTTTTTTTGGTGTATATATCTAGCCACTCGACAACTTGGATGGATCTCAGGAGTATTATACTGAGTGAAGAAAACCAATCTCATATTGTATGGTTGCATTGATATCTCTTAAATGATGTTATAGACATGGAGAACAGCTTAGTGATTGCAAGAGTTAGGGATGGGCAGGTGGGTTCAGCTATATAAGGGTAGTACAAGGGAGCCTTGTGGTAATTTCTGTTATCTTGATTGTGCTGGTGATTACATGAATCTGCATGTGTTAAATTGCATAGAAACACACACACAAATGAGTACATGTATAACTGGCAAAATCTGAATGACCCCCATGGATTTTAACAAAAAAAAAAAAAAAACTACAAGAAAGGGATGTTCCAGTGGTCTGTAGCTGCTGTTTGAAGAAAGCAGATGAACGCTAAGTGACTTTTAGCCCTGTTTCCCTCAGGGAATATGGGAGATAAGGTAATCTCCACTTAAGTGGGTGCAAAGGTAGGATGGTCAACAGAGGAAAGCAAGAATTTGGTGGAAAGGTTGTATTAGGCAAAGCTAGAGTCTGTAAAGTATTAGTTTTTGGCAATACATTCAGAACTACACAAGGCATATTGGAGTGCCTTAGAATGAGGAGAAGATGGCTCAGGGAAGGAAGAATGCTACACTGGGTGGATATGAAAAGCCAAAGGAGAGGCGTTTTCTTTGGACAGGGACCTTTGTAAATATTCTAGCTAGAGAATATACTAGTCACAAACCATCGTACCTGATTTGCTCTACAGAGTTGCTCTAGCAAAAACCAAACCCGTTGCCGTCGAGGTGATTCCGATTCCGGCTCATAGGGACCTATAGGACAGAGTAGAACTGCCCCATACGGCTTCCAAGGAGTGCCTGTTACATTCGAACTGCTGACCTTTTGGTTAGCAGACTTAGCTGTTAACCACTACGCCACCAGGGTTTCCACAGTGCTGCTGCGCACAACTTTTAAAAGTATTACCTAAACATTGTTTCGTATTTCATATTTCAAAACCCTCTTTTCCTGTTTCACTCCTCCATTTCCCTTGACCCCTTTGCTATTCCCACTCTCACTGTATTAGTGCAGGACTGTATTGTCCCTTGCCTAAATTAGTGCCTGAACGCCCTAACTATTCTCCCTGCCTCCAGAGTGTTCACTGCCATATTAATCTTACTGAGGCATATATTTGCTTTCTCAATTGAAAATCTTCACTGGTTTTGAAGTATAACAGCTTAGACTAAAGTTTATATAAAACGTTCTATAGAAAGGATTTGCCGTAATCTAACTAGAATCTGCTTTTCTATCTTTACTTCAATTCCTTTCCTTCAGTCCAGCCAAACTGTATATATACCTTTTCCAGTATTTTCCAGTGTTCTGTCTAGAATGACTGTCCTCATCTTTTTGAACATGCTCAAATTTTAACCATCCTTCAAGGCTACCTCAGAAGTACCTCTTCTGTAGCCATTCCCTGTCTTTACCCATCGCTCATAATAACTATCCGCCTTCTAAATTCTCATAATACACTCTGTATCTCTCTCTGGTGTTATCCTTTGGGCCTGGATTCAACCCAAATTTACAGCTTACCAGCTGTGTGACTCTGGGCAAGTTTCTTAAACTCTAGACCTGATTCCTCATTTGTAAAATGGAAATAAAATGTAAGTTATAATTTGTCTGTGGTATTATATTTTATATACATATATGTATAATTTCCCCGGCAAGGTTCTAAGTTTGTTATACGTAGGAAATGGATTTAATTTATCCTTTCAGCTCATTAAATGCCTAGTATGTATGTAATAAATATTTGTTGAATAAATGTATGATGCTCCTTACAAGCTTATTTTTCAAACAAGCCTTGTGAATTAAAAATTTTTCATTTTATATTTTAGAAATTTGTTTTTGTTTTCTTTTATTACTCAGGGTAATAATTCTTGAAGATGAACTTGAAAAGCTTGTTTGTACCAAAGAAACACAAGAACTAGTGTCAGAGTCTTATCAAATCCTAGAACAGAAATTAAAGTTGATTCAGCCCCATGTTCAAGCAAGCAACAATTGCTGGGAAGAGGCCATTTCTCAGATGGACAAACTGCTACGAAGAAATACAGATAAAAAAGGTACATATCATAGATTTCTTTGGCATACATTTATCAGACATGCTTACTCCGCTCTCATAGGATTTTATTTTCGAGAATTTTAGGTAAATTTTTTATCTGCATTAGGTGAAACTGGTTTCACAAAATTTCCTAGTTTACTAAAAGAAGTTGAACTAGTATGTACAAATTATGACACTGAATACAAAGTTTTGACTATTTTGAAAATAAAAGGTGAATATAATTTTAAAGTTCAGTGAATCATACACCTCATTTAAAAAAAAAACACTTGTATGAAAGGATAGATTTTGATAGTATCTTTCTATTATTAGAACTTCCAAAAACTCTTTTCCAGTTAGGATAATAAAACAATGAGTTGAATAGTTAGGGGCCAGAAACAGTTTTTCTTTTAAGATAAAGTGCCTACTTGCGTCATTCAGAAATAGTATACAAATGATATAATTACTGGTACTACATATTCATTATCAAGAGTCTAACACGTTTTAAGTCTCATCGTTTAATGGTAATATATCAGACTGCGTTGTGCTACTGGGTATAAACCAAACCAAAACCAAACACCTTGCCATCAAGTCAATTCTGACTCATAGTGACCCTATAGGACAGAGTAGAACTGCCCTATACAGTTTCCAAGGAGTGCCTGGTGAATTTGAACTGCTGACCTTTTGGTTAGAAGCTGTAGCTCTTAACCACTGCGCCATCAGAGGTTACTAGGTATAAAGGCAGTCTTGAAATTTTTAGCTAAACTGCTTTCATTTGATCCAGATTTTATACTAATTTTTGTATCACTAATTTCATTTAAAATGTTTAGCATGTTAATGTTTTTAATTATGCTACAAACCAATACCATGTTTATCACTTGGATCTTTATTATAAGGCTAATCAGACATAGAAATTGTATTGTGGCCAAAGATGACCAGTGCTTTACCATCCTGTTAGTCATTGTTTTGTTTACAGTAGATCAGTGATACTTTGCTTAATGTCTTAAATAAGCTGAGTAAATCCTTTGATAGTAAAAGGATTTTACTTTCACTTTTTCAGAGGAAATGATAACATGCTCATTATTGATATATTACCAATAGGTTTCTTAGATCTCAAATGTAAATGGTGAATAATTTTTTCTCGAAAGGATACATTTGCAAAGGACTTCCAATATGTTCAAATACTTACACATATTAAACTTTTTTATATGACTTAAGTCTAGAGCTTTTGAATACAATATCTATAAATAGAAACACTCAGAAGACCTTTGGGTGTTAAAAGATGCACCTCACCCAACCCTCCCTCAGCACACTCTGTGGTGTTAAATCTTAGTCTATTGTTTAACCATTATTGTTAACCATTATGTTAAAACTGTCTCTAAACCATTGGGCAGGTGGTAAATCATTTCTTAATTATGCTCTGTATGTGTGGTTTTTGCTCATAGGTGATAAATGATATGAATTAAGACAGGTGCTTTACAAACTTCTCACTAAAATATCCACAGAGGCCATGGCTACACAACTTTAAAATGTTCATTTAAATTTTTTTAAAGAAGTGGGTACTTTTAATTAACCATATTTTTTAATGTTTTATTTTGAAGTAATTAATTTCAAACTTAAAGAAAAGTTACAAGATTTGTTCAAAGTACCTTTTGTCCAGATTCCCCAGTTGTTGACATTCTGCCATATTTGCCTTCTCATTCTATGTGTATCTGTGTGTATAATTCTTTTCTTGTCATTCTGAACCATTTGAGAGTAAGTTGCAGACATGAAGATTCATTACCCCTAAATACCTGTTTGCATTTTTTAAAAACATGGATATCTACAGTTTTCCATCAAAATCAGGAAATTAACACTGATGTAATATTGCCATATAATTCACAGACCCCATTCAGGTTTCACTGATTGTCCCAATAATATTTTTTATAGGTTGTGATCCAGATCATACATGACATTTAGTTGCCGTGCTTGTTAGTCTCCTTTAGCCTTTCCTTGTCTTTCATGATATATATTTTGTGAAGAAATACTTAGAGGTTATATAAATCTTTTTCCTCATCAAAATTTCACCCACTATTAAGCATACATATACTATATGACCCAACAGTATTATTTCTAGGTATTTACCCAAGAGATATAAAACGTAATGTTTATACAAAAACCTGTATGCAAATGTTTATAGCGCTTTGTTCATAAACACTGAAAACTAGAAGCAATCCAAGTGTTCTTCAGCTGGTAAATAAAAAAAACAAAAAAACTGGAACATCCATCCATACAATGGAATACTACTCAGCAATAAAAAGGAATGAACTATTGTTGCGTGCAACAACATGGATGAATCACCAACGCATTATGCTAAGTAAAAGAAGCCAGACTTAAACTACAACATACTATATTATTCCACTTATATGATATTCTTAAAAAGGCAAAATAGATAGGAACAGAAAACAGATCAGTGGTTGCAGATGGAAATGGAGGGAAGAGTTGGTTATAAAGAGGCAGCACAGGGGAATATTTTGGGGTAATATAACTGTTCTATATCTTGGTTGTCGTGGTGATGGTTACATGACTGTTTACCTAACCTCAATCAAATTGTATGCCTAAAAGAATGAATTTTTTAAGTAAGTAAAATAAAAGAACTTCATCCACTAGTTTTAGCATCCCTGGTTGCTCAGTGGTTAAGCCTTCTGCTGCTAACTATTCAACCCCACCAGATGCTCCACAGGAGAAAAATGTGGCAGTCTGCTTCCGTGAAGATTTATAGCCTTGAAAACTCTATGAGGCAGTTCTCCTCTGTCCTATAGGGTCACCGTGAGTCAGAATTGACTCACAGCAGTGGGTTTGATTTGCTTTGGGGTGGTTTTTACTTGAATTAGGTAGTACTTTAAGAGTTGCCAAATGGTAATTTTCTTATTCTGTTTTTCTTTTTATACTTAATTAGTTGGCACTCTACTGTAAGGTAAAGCATCCCCCTCCCATACATACTTAATTGTATCAGTATGGATTTATGCATTTTTATTTTATTCATTCGGTCACAATTCATTACCATCATTATTTACTTTGCTACTCAAATTGTCCAAAACTTGTGTCCCATTCAAGTTGGTTTGTGTCACCATCATTCTTTGAGCACTTCCTTACTTGTACATTCCTTGCCCCAGTCCTGGCATCAGCAGCGCCTCCAAGCCCTGGTTCCTTTTAACAGAGAATGGCATTTAGAAACCAACATCTGTGTGCTAGGTGTGCTCATGGTCACTGGGATATCATTGCTTTTAGACCATCTCAGTGTACAGAGCTATGAAGTATATATGTGTATATAAACTTACACACATATCTATATCTATTTCTATATCTGTCCATAAATGTTATAAGCCAGTACCTCCAGTTCACACCAATACTTCCAGTTCCATTCCAATACCACATGATTTATTCTGTTTTCCCACTTTCCATATTTGTACCTTCTTTCTCTAATAGTGAGAAACTTATTTTTCATTATCTTCAATATATTTATTTATTTATTCAATCCCTTGTACCTTACCCTATGGGCTGTCTCCCAAGCTACATTGCTGCTCAGACCTGCCAGGAGTTCTTTCCATCCCAGCCCCAGCATCTTGCTATTCTTTGCTGGCTGAAAGAGACCTTGACCCCCTCCCCCGCCTAGCATCCTGCTAACTCATACCGGATCCTCTAGCCCAGAGTTCCAAACCAGTTGAGAGTGCCTTCCCAGTCCTGTCATCATACTTACTTATGCTGGCCAAGAATCCCCACCCCACACCCCTCATCACTCTGACTCTTGCCAGCTAATACTCCCTACTAGCACCTACACTGCATTGACTCCCTCTAGCCAAGATTTAATTGACCATATCTTTTTTACATTTTTTAGTATTTATTTCATGAAGAGCTAGTGCATTTTATCTTCAAAATTTTAAAGGCACAAAAGGGTAGGTGTCCCAGCCACAGTTTCCTTTCCTAGAGGTAACTGCTGTTATCACTTCCTTGTATATCCTTATAGAAATATTTTATACATATATTGATATAAACAAATATTAATATATTTTTCTTTTATATAGAATATTACATGCACTGTGATATCTCTTGCTTTTTCAACTTGACAGCATATTCAGCTGCATTGTATACCTTTGTATGGGCTTCATTAAACCAGACCTCTTAAGGAACTTTTAAGATGTTTTCAGCCTTTTCATGTTTTAGAGCCATTCATAATTCCTTTCCTAAGAACTGTCTATTCATATATTTTCTCCATTTTTGTTTGGCTGTTCATTTTCTTACTGATTTGTAGAAACTCTTTTATATGTTAGGGAAATTGACCCTCTGTGATATAAAATGCAAGTATTTTTTTCCTGATTTGCCATGTATCTTTTTATTTTGTTTACGGTGGGTTTTATATCTTCTTGTGTGGCTTCTGGATTTTTATGTCATAGTTTAAAATGTTCCTTGTTTTAAAATTATTTTTAAAACTCTCCCATGATTTCTCCTAATATTTTATGGTTTCATATTTTTAACATTTTTTTCTTAGAGTCCCCTGGAATTTATCTGGTGTTATGAAATGTGGATCCAACTGAAATGTTTTTTCAAAGCTATTGTCATAACACCATCTTTTCCCTTCTGGTTTGATTTCTAGTTTGTATTTATTTTCTATATTCAATGATCTGTCTATTCCAGTACTATACTGTTTTATTTATTTTGTTTTTACTATATATTTTAAAAGTTTATTGGGCTAATCTTTCTACTTTTCTTTCTCAGAATTGTCCTCACTGTTCTTGCTTTTTAATTTTTTGCAAGATCTTTGGAATTCGCTTGTCTATTTTTCCTCCTCTTTCTCTTCTCCCTCCCTGCCCCTAAAAAGTTCTGATAGTGTTTTTGTCAGGATCATTTTTTAAAATTTATAGATTAACAGAAGGAGAGTTGACATTTTTATAATGATGAGGATTCTCTTCCGAGATCATAGTATGCCTTTCCATTTGCCTATCTTTCCTTTTGTGTCCCTCAGGAGGTTTAAAATTGCCGTCATACACATCTGGCATATTTCTCATTAAATTTATTACTGGTTATTTTATCTTTTTTGTTACTATTGTAAATGAGATTTTATTTTTCATTATCATTTAACTAGGTCTCACCTCCAAGAGTTTAACTTCATGAAGAGAAATATGTAAATCTACTAATGTTACTATTGTTAACTTTAACATCCTTTATTTCCTTAGAAATTAAAAATTATAACTAGAACAAGCTAGACTATGAGATTCGCAGAGTATTAGTACCAAGAATATTTTTATTGCACCTGTACTTGTTTCTGTGTGGCCTATTTCTTATCCTTATCCCTACCCCACCCCCTTTTTTTCTTTGAAGGCAAGCCTGAAATAGCATGTGAAAACACGCATTGTACTGCAGTACCTTTGATGCAGCCTACTGTGCACATTGCAGACAAAGATCCAATTCCTGAAGAACAGGTAAGGGTGACGCTGCTTTTTTTCCTAAAGAAGAGTTTTATATAGAAAGCTTACCTATCTTTCTCTTTAGGTAACATGGATAATGTTTTCATAAATGAACTTGTCAAATTTATGTTTCTAACAGGCTCCAGAATTACAGCATAGTATATTTACTGTATCAAATCATTAGTTTTTAGTGCCTTGAATTTGAATCCGTTGAATCCTCCAGCATACCATCTTGTCATTTATATCTAATTGTCCGTTCTTTAGAGGGCTTTAAAAGTGATTAAACACATAAGGTAAATATCAGTACATTACAAAGTTTTCTTCTGGGATAATGGAAGTGTGTTACATCTTGATCTGAGTAGTGGTTACCAGTGTATATTAAAATCTTGTGCACTTAAGATTTGTGTACTTTACTGTATGTATGTTATACCTCAGTTAAAAAAATATAATAATTGCATTGGATATTGACAAAGATTTCTTTTGCTCATCCTAAGGAATATTTATAAGTCATATCATCCACTTAGGATTCTGCAAATAGAAACCAACCCTAATTAGTTTTAAAAGACAAGAAATTTATTAGAATACGTGGCTTACAGAGTAATTCAGAGGGCCAAAAAAACCCAGGTTGAAACAGGTTGGGGTAAGCAGACAAACTCAAAAGAACTGTTCCAGAGGCAAGGCAAAGATGGTGGAGTATTAAGCCACTTCCGGTGGACCCTCTTACAGCAAAGACCCGAAAAAACAAGTGATTCGATTGTATATGGCAATCTGGGAGCCCTGAATATCAAAGGCAGAGTTGAGGAACCGGACTGAGCGGCAGGGGGAGAGAGAGACAGTTTGGAAGCAGCGAGGAGTTGCCAGACTTGACCTGGTGAGAGCCTGAGCCCTTCAGGTCTGAGCAGCTTGTGGGTGAGCGGTGAGGAAGGCAAGCAGTGGTCCTTGGGAGGGGCGTTTTCTGCACCAGGAGAGACCCAGCACCAGAGAGTCTACACGGCCGCCAAGAACCATAAGTACTTGCATATGGCTTACTGCGCAGATCAAAAACCCCCCTCTTAGGGAGAAACCTTTCTCCTGTTTACTCCCCAGCTCCCTGCTCTGCACTGGGTCCCAGACGGCTTTAGCAATTGCCGAGTCTGTCACACACCCAGAGTCATTCTCCTTGCCTTGGAGAGTGAACAAATTAACAAACGGGAAAAAATAAACTACCAGCTCCCCTAAGCCAGGAACCCAGGGTAGGCACAGCTCCTTTACCTAGGAACAGGCATAAGGGATCTACGGACTTTGAGTGCCTTTCCCCCTGCAGAGACTTGTGTGGCTCATCTCAGCAGCGTAAGGCCCTCATTGCTGAAGTACAATAGGGTATATACCAGCAGTCTAACTGTTTCAGCTGTGAAGTGGCAGGCTCGTGACATTTGACATTGCCCTGCCCATTAAGCAAGGCCTTCACCTACCAACATCAGGGGCCTGAGGACTGCTGGCTTCACCCACGCCACCTAGCCACCTGCGATAGGGGCCCATGAATAAGTGGTACCCCCCATCCTTACAGCCAACAGCATTAGGTGCTCATGGTCCAGCTGCAAAACCCACCCACCTACACGCTCTAGGGAACAGGGATATGCCTTCCTCCTGGACACCCAGGGGTAGCCGTCAGGCCCTGCCTCACATAGAGTGTGTACCCCTGCTGCAACCAGGTGCCTGTGCCTACACCAATCACCCATGCCTGTCTAGGACTGTAAGTGAGAGCCTACACCACACACTTGGTGGCTATCTACCT